CCTCTTCAGCCTTCCTTATTCAATACTCCGCATGCACAGGAAGCAATTTAAATACCTGGCTTAGGTCAGATGCGCTTTGTTCCTCAAAGTCACATCTTTGCTTTCAACACTTCAAAGAGGTACATTTACCCCGTCCAATGCCTCACGTGGTCTCTTGCCTGCTGCTTCCCTAAGCATTGCTTGTGAACGCAAGCCAGATGAAATGTTTGACAACTTCATGCTTGTCCCTTTTTATCACGATGCTATCTGTTGGTCCAGTTGTGAGGCTTTTTCTTCTCTTCACATTAAGTGGTAATCCATATTGAAGACTTCAATCCTTGAATTTCATCAGCAAGTGCATCAAGTCCTCCCCATTTTCAGGAGGTCAGGTTGGGTTACCTATACATCACAGGTTGTTAATAAGCCTTCCTCTTGGGTTTTTTTTATACATAGAATCCAGCTTCTCTGATTATTTGCTCAGCATAGAGATCAAGTAACTATGGTGAGAGGCACAACTGTGACACACACCATTCCCAACTGCAGACCATGCACTAGCCCCTGGCTCTGTGTGCACAGCAGTCTCTTGACCCATGCAGAGGTTTCACATGAGCACAATGAAGTGTTCTGGAATTCCCGTTCTTCTCAAGACTAGCCATCGTTTGTTATGAGCCACCCAATTGAATGCCTTTTTTATAAAACACAAGTCAACATCTTTCTGATACTGTCTGCTTTCTGCCTGGGTTCACCTGACTTCATATCCGCTGTTCCACAGCCTCTCCTGAATCCAGTCTGTACCTCTTGCAGTTCCCTATCATTGAACCACTGCAACTGTTGTTGGGTGACCTTCAGCAATATTTTAATTGTACGTGATATTAATGATATAAGATGAAAAATAATACCCAGGAGATATTCATTCGTTAAAATGATTAACCATGTGAAACCAAAGGGAAGCATAGGCTAAAAGACAAATCTCAGAAAGCAAAAAGGGATAGGAAAGAGGGACCGAGGAAATGGTCCACACAGAGAGCGTGAAACAGGAACCTGCTGTGAGACTGTGTGGACTGTCATCAACGTCACAAAACGCAATGGGTATAAACTGTTGAATGGAAAACCAACGTGCGTGATAAACTTTCAAAACAGATTTGTTTTCTATTTTAGCCATCCACAGCACGTGGACTATTTTTCAACAAGACCATAATTCAAATGTATTTATTCTCTGCTATTCTTTACTCATTGTCCAACTTTCCCATGCATGAAATGAAACCCATAACAACTGCGATCTGTACTTTGTTTATCATGTTTTCATTTATTGGCCCAGTTAGGAGAACGTTGTTTACTTTTTACACTGAGGTTAGGAAGTGCTGAAGGCTATACTAACTCTCAGTAAATGCTTCCGGTTTCTTCAAGTTTGGGCAAGATTGTGTTATGTGCATTGTGCCGGTTTATAAACCGTCCCCTAATCTTGATACTTCTTCATACACTCTAAAATTTCAGATTATTTTCTCAGCATGCAGTCTGAGTAAATTTGGTGAACATAAAACCTTAGCACCTACTTTCCCTGAATTTAAAACAATCAGGATCTCCTTGTTCTCTTTGAATGTCTGTCTCTTGTACTATGGACAGATTCCACATGAAAACAATTAAATGTACTGAAATTACCATTCTCCACCATGCTATCCATAACATAGATTATTTTATGTAGCCAATAAAATACAAATAAAACATTTTACTGGTATTTTTTTTCTTTAACTTAAGATTCATCTAATGTTGACAATGATAACCTTGTTTCCACATCTTCTGAATTGGCTTGAATTTATGATAGTTCCCTGTGTATGTACTATTGTAATTATTTTTAAATTATCTGCAGGAACATTTTAATTGCGTATTAAACTGCATTGCAGTTAATTACTTAATATGCCTCATCTAGCCATAATTCTCCATTTTGTGATGCATTATAAATCCTAGTCTCCAGTCCTTTTGTCTAAAATTAGCCATCATCGTTGAAACTTGTTTTAAAACTAGACCTAACTTCTTGTTTCAAGTTGTTCCCTATGTGGACAAACCACTGGCTTTCTTCTTAAATGAGAAAAACAGGAAGCTGACATCATGAAACCGGCTTAAGTAGACGTGTGCTGCTTCGCCGCACAGAATTGGCCAGCACTCTCTCTAGCTAACTTTTTGGCAGGATTATTTGAAGACTAATTATTACAGAAAAATAAAAAGCAACAACCATGAAGAGGATGTCAGAACAATAGTGCTTAAAGGCAATACTCCCTGGATTTCTTGGTGTTCTTACACAGCCTGTCCATGAAAATTCAGATGCTATCAAGTCTCATTTTCTCCAGCATTTGGATTGCTGGTAGTCAGAATTAAGTCAATGGTAGTCGGTTTGTTTGTTTCCTAGTATTTTTTCTAATATTTCCCCTCATATTCTAAAGTTTGTAGACTCAAAATCATTGAACTCCTTATTCCTATAGCCATTTGTTCACTTCAGTAAGGCCTCGTACATCTAACAGAGCATACACATTCTACAATATCTAAATTTACAGGTTATAAGACAGTGGAGTAGAAGCTCTTCCTCAGAGCGGCCAGGGATAGGAATCATACTCATCAATGTTACCCTGGAGATTACATGTACACAAAGGGATGTAACTAGGGCCAAAATGACCCAACCTTGCGCCGGAGAGACTGAAGTGGCCGAGCCCTCACAGCAGAGGTAGCAAGATTCATGGAAGTTTGGTAGCTTGCTCTTAACTGCGCTCGGTTTATACACGGAGAAAAGTCTAAGTTCTTATCATAATAGCAGACTCCTCAGACCAAGGAACATGTTTATCTCCTCCAGATATGGGTTTGATAGTGATGGATGATTTACATATTGCCTATCTAAACCATGGAGCGATAAGGCTATATATACCCCTCTGGCTAGTATACACACTTACGTGATTACGATTGCATTAAAAACAAGAAAGGACAATTGCAGCAGTGATTTACTCAGGAAACCAGGTAAACACAAACTTACCTTTTTTGTTTT